GATATCATTATCAGCATTCTGAAAGTTATGTCTGTACTAGACCCTGTTCAACGTTTCTCATGGCATGACACTGAACATATAGAAATAGCAAATTACTGAGAGAAGTGAAACTGGTGACACTTAAAAGGGAAATTTTAAGCCCACTACACAGAATATACATCAGGGATTATAAAAAAAATCATTATGTGCATTGGCATCAGAGCATATGGCTTTCAGAGAGGAAAATGAGGCCTATATACATGTATAGGAGAAAATTGTTTGATTGCAAGCTAGTGGAATTCTTGTGGTCATTATTGCAATTAAACACTAATTAAACAGTTTGAGACAATCAGTGAGTGTAGTGGCATGGAAATAATTTCCATTGTATAAACTTTGGGTAATTAAAAATGCTTTTCTTGCCTGTCACTGCAGTTAGTCTGGATTTGCAAATGAGAGAAGAATTTTGCCCGCGGTCCAATTACAGATGCTCCATATTCTTGAAAAAACAAGAATGGGTCAGACCACGCATATATCATAGATGTTTCTAGTTCTTATTGTCTTGCTATTCATAAATACGCAAGAAAAATATATTTGATTTACAACAGCAAAAAAAGCCAATTAAAATACCTATTACTGTGCTTTCCAATTACTCTTCAAGCTCATTTGTGAATAGGAAGCCACTGATAATTCAAATTGGCTTGTGATCCAATCATCTTGTAGATAATTGCTGCTTTCTTACTCCGCACAATTAAAAAAATCTGTCAGTAAGACCAAAAAAGTTTTAAATAAACATTTAAATAAATGTTTTCACCATTTTTGCTTCTTAGAAGTTAAATAGCCCTATCAGGAAAATAATGTTTTCTTACACCTGTGTGCAGACCCTCAATCTTTTTGCCAGTGACAGCTAGAAAGGAAGGAATACATTCAACATTGTAAGTAAAGTTCCTGTAATGGCCATGACTTCTAAAAAATCTAAGGATTTCTAACGTTTGAAAAAATGCACAGCAAAATAGGGCAACCATACTAAATCTGCTACAAGGAAAGTACCTTCTTATGATGTAAATTTCCGTACTCCTCTTAGTGACTAGTAGACTTGTGGTTAAAGAATCCTAGCTTTCAGAAGAGTTGGACAGACCTGTGTCTCCCAACCAGAAAGAGCTCTCATCACTGAGCAGAAAAAGGTCATCCTTACCATCTGTGGCGGCTTTGTTCTGCTTTGCACATGAATGTTTATGGGGCAACGCCCTGCAGGTGGAATAGGCAAATCAATGAGTCATTTATGCATTAGTCGTTGTGTAACTGTTCATCTTCAGGACAGAGGAAACCCTGCTCAGAAAGAGAAGTTTAGGCACCTAGGAAAATCAGGCAGAAACTGAATGTGCTTGTATGTATGTTGGTGGGGCTCCAGGACTTAGGTATTACATGAAAGAAGCAATAATTTTGAAGAACTAAATTTTGGACCCAGGTGCTAAACATGGAAAGTAAATGGAATTCTACACTCCTGAATGTTTTTGTAATCCCTCTATTGGTAAGGACAGCTCAAAGTAATTGCTGTATGTGTGCTCATGGAGAAACGAGCTGCAACAATATGTGGTGCAGATAATGGGGGAGTGAAAAAAGCTGTATCTTCATCTACTGCAGTAATTCCATGGTGCTGAACTTGGGAATAGTGTTCAATGCACATGTAAGAATATGTGACACTAAGGGGTATAAAAATTTCATCTGTAAGCTAAAAGGACAAATCAGGATAGTAAAAGCCTGCAAGATGCCCAAGAACTATGTATCACATAGTTCTTAATTTTAGCTCTCAGAAAAATAAAACCAGGTATATAAGACCCAAAGTTCAGAACGTTAAAATACTATTCCAGAGTAAGAAAATGTGATGTGCTGTATTTCTGCTATATTTGGCTAGTTGCTTGTTCATGCTGAATTTGGTTAGCTGAATTCTGTAAGGTTTCATTTACTCCAGAGACTGCCCCTTACATCAAACATCAGAATCCTATTCTGCAGTTTTGTAGTAACTCTTTTACAGAAAATGTTGAAATCATTATCAGTACATGCAAAATGAAGGACTAGATGCTGGTCTTGAAAACGCTGATATGATTTAGAAATAACAGTGTACTTCTGAAGAACTGCTTCTGAATTATATTAAAACAAATTAAATTTCTATCTGGGCTATATGTGTTTTATCTTCTTTGGTTAATACCAATATGATTACATTAAAAACTGTTCTTGCCATCTGCCAATTTGAAAAGAAATGCTGTTAAATTTATGGTTATTGTTTATGCAGAGAGAACAGTCCGTTTCTAATCAGCTAAGTGATCACAGATCTAACAGCTGCAATTCATACAACAAGTAGATTGGTTAAAAATAAAAGAAACAGCAAACACAACTGCAGAGAATGTTAACTCTTGTTAAGCCAGGACTAGATACTATGGATTAATGCAAGATAAAAAGCATTAGATACGTAATGCAAGGTAAAAAAGTAGAAAATATACAAAGTAGAACTTCTAACTGTCTGAGGAGTCTGCCATTAAGTACAGTTTTTAAAAAATCAAATTCAGTTTATCCCAAAATATTTTTGTGTGCATGTACGTGTGTTGTAATGCTGTGTGTCTCATAAGCATAATTTTCAGCATTTCAGAACTAGAATTCTTTATTTTGTTGTAAGACTGCTTATGCAGTCACTAAAAACATGTATGTTCCAATCCTTTGAAGAGAATGTGAGATTTCAATACAGATTCATTTGTAGGAAATACATGTTTTCGTATGCAGTTAAGGACTTTGAATAAACAAAAAAAAAAATCTGTCAGGTAGCTACTTTTTCAGGAAAATTACTGAGGATCTCAAGGTTATCAAATGTTTTCCAAGTTGGAGTCACTGAGAATAGGAAGAAATATTATTGGATGCATCTGAAAAGACATCTCCAGAGTATTGGGGGTGAACCCTTTTTGTGATGCCACTGTAGCTTTATTCTGTGCTTCGGGTAAGATGCAGGTAATGCCATGCCATGCATGGTAATAGTTTTTCAACCATCACAGATTTCACTTGCAAAGTAGAAAAGTACATGTGGCTTAAGAGAAATGCACTGAAAGAATAAAGCTCCTGGGATGGACAGGTTTATTATAATGTGTATTGTATTGCTCCTGGAGTAACACAGCAATTTTAATTTGTACTGTCATTTCCTGCCTTTTTGATGAGTTCTACTTTGTAATTGATTGGCAGGTGGGACCGATCTTCCTTCTGACTAAGTCCAGCATGATTTCTTTTCAGTCTTCAGCCTTTTCCACCCTTGCCTTGTTTAGTTTTTCGGCCGCATTTTTTGCTTGTTTAAGCATTCTTGATTGTACAGATTACTACAACTATGTTTCTTAGCAGTTTTCGTTGGCAGTAGTCTTCCTTCATATGCTGTGGAAGCACTAAGGTTGCTCTTCTCTTTTAGAAAGGTTCTCACCGAAGCGGTGAGATGCATGCTTTCTAGGCACTGTATGGTCTCCTTTGTTAGAAAGAGTGGTGAACCTCAAATACAAGAATTGACAGGTTTTGGTGTGCAGTATTCATTTGAACTGAACTCCAGTAAGATCTTATCAGCACGAACTGATAGGATTTTCCTTAAAATAGAGTTTTTAAGCTTTGTGCGTTACAAAAGAGCTGGACTTAACATTTTGACTGGACCCTGGATCTAGGTATAAGTAATGACCTCTTACCTTAGGTCAGAGAGAATCTATTTCACTACTTTAAATAGAATTTGTCTGTTCTAGGTCTCAAAACCTTTGGCTTAGATTGATACTAAGAATTTATTTGACCATAGCAGCCCAATCTAGTGTTGCTGCAAATAATTTATCAGGTAAGTTGCTTTGGTTCCCAAGCAGAAATCCACAAGTCTAATCTTATTTCATATACAGGAGGTATCCTGTATATGAAGCATCAGTTTAACCATAGGAAATTCAGTCACTGTAAAGAATGCTGGCAATCCTTTTATTGTGAAAGCTTCATTTATGTTATTCATAGGCTACAAATCTGAAAGGCTGCTGAAAAATTCTTTTCATTGCTTAGCAGTAGTATTCAGAATGCCATTATGCTAAGGTTATTTAGAAAAGCATGTTCCTCTAGTTGTTATAAAATCCAGTTTGGGGGATTATTTTACCATTTAACATCACTGCGTAGCAAACAAGTAGCAAAAATGTCTGAACGTGAAGTGGCTGAAATCCTAACTGGTCAATGTCATTACCACTTACTGCTCTATCAAAAGTACCTTTGGAAGGAGCATTGAAAACCTAATTCTCAGGTCTGACTGGATAAATCACTGTGTTAGCACCCACAGAAACAGTTACATTGGTTTATACCCATGCAGCATTCTCAGCCTACAAAAGTGAGGTTTAATGGCTGATTTTACAGCCAGGCATGAGATTTAGTTCCTGGATCTGGGTAAACTATTTTCTTGGTGTCCTAAGAAATTAATTGAAGATGTAGGATTACTCGATTTCAGTTTCTGTTTTTGAAATTGTTATTACTTTTCTGAAAAAAATCTTGAACATCCCTTTCTCCTCACAGTGCAGTGTCACATGACTACTGATTGAAACACAGGGGAAAAAGAAATCCAAGCAGAAACTATAGAGCCAAAAGACTACCACTGACTTGCTTCTGATGAGAGTGTCTTCAAAGTAGGGTTGATTATGCATATATAAATAAAAATACTTACGCAAAGCTTTTAAAGAGGAGAAAAGATCCAGTCACTTATTTACCCCTTTTCCAAAAATAGGCGGAGAAGAAAATAAGGACATGCAATCTTACCAAAGACAACCAAAGTTTAATTGTTTTAAGCCTAGAGCTTTGTAGAGCTAAAGAATTGTTTGTAAATACAGTTTGGTAAAACCAGGTTTTTTTATCGTATACACATAGCTTAATAGTTTATGAAGCAGATTATAATGTGGTTGCTTTCAACAGTAGGGAAGTGGATTTAATGACCCTCACATCCTTCCAGTCCCATTCCAAACTAAATTTTTTCTCTTTTCCTGCAGCCCAGAAGATGGTGAAATTCATCCTGAAATCTGTAGACTGTACATCCAGTTGCAGTGTTGCTTAGAAATGTACACAACAGAAATGCTTAAGTCCATATGTCTGCTGGGATCACTGCAGTATCATCGGAAAGGTATGGAATTGCACAAATATACAGATGCTGATTTAAAAAAAAAGAACAGTCTTGTGGGGCTTGCATGGGTATTCATGAAAGACAAAGCACCAAACTGTAAAATGAACTATACTGCTGAAGCTTTTCAGCTACTGAAAAAGAAAGTTGTATTTCTGTTCCGTTATCATCATTTTACAGAATTGTTTCATATCAGGCATGTGCCGCTAATGTCCTTGTAGTTTAGAAGTCTGAAATTTTTTTTAAAAGAGCAGTCCCAAAATTTTTAACTGTCATTAGTGAGATTAGTGAGCAAACTGTCAGTCATTTTAATAGAGGTATTTGTTGGGTATGATATTTGAGGGCAGGTGTTTGGTGGAACAATATGGCGTGGTTTTACTACTTAACTGATCCCTTACTATCCCTGTTGTTATTTATCCAGCAATGTCAGCTTATAGCAAAAGACGGGTAAACGTGGTTAAAAAGCTGCGCACCTTTATAAAACTAGATACTAGATTCAGAACTGAAATTTACCTCCTAGAGTATTTTTACACACAAAGGAGATGTCCTTGCTTCAGTGAAAATGCATCTCTGTAATGATTTCGTATTTGATTAGCCACCTACTGAAAGGAAGATATAGAAATAAAGATAATTCTCTGAATAGGCTACTTCGTAACCTCATTACTCAGTGACAGCATACACTGATTGGGACTGTATCTGTGCTAATTGTAACTACTTTTTCCCCAGATAATACACTAGGTAAAAACAAGACAAGGTTCTGTAATGAAGGTCTGATAATGAACCTTAGATATTTCCTGTCATGCTGAAAGATCCCATAATGTATTTTTCACATCTAGCTATAGGATACAGCTAAAGCCAGTGATATTTTTATTATGGAAATAAAAATTAGAGGTTTATAACTGCTCATTTGAGCTTCTCAGTGATTTTTCTCAGGTCAAAAATAAATCTATAAAATAGGAAGAGACAGAATTAACAGAGCCATCGTATAACAAGATGCCAGTAACTGCTGAAATTAATCATCATTTTTTAAGACAGATTGTACTACATTTCCAAGCATTTGCTACAGTTGTCAAACCGCCTTCTGTAATTGCAGAAAGAAAGTAGCTTGAGGTGACCTGCGTAGCCCCAATATGTCTTGTGTCTCCCTTTTGCCTCTGGATGGAATCTACATTAATAATTTAAACTAAACATCAAACTATTAGATGTGTAAAGTTCGATAAGATGAATTACAGCATTATGGTATGGGCCAGCTTAGTTCCTATCTGGCAGAACTTTTGTTATACACTGGTGCCTCCTCTCACCATAGAGAAAGTCATGGTAGCTATTCTGCCATTGCTAAATAGAGTAATTTTGTCCTGTATCCATATAGAGATAAACACAGTAACTTGGTACCAAGTTTTTGTGACATTCTTTGAGAAAAATTCAAAATAGGCAAAAATTATATGATCGCAGGAGTTCAAATAATTTGAATCTTGGAACTCAGCCAATAGAACAGTGCTCTTCTATATTAAATACTTGGTATTTACAACACCTAGAAGTATTGTAAAGGCATCATGCAACAAGGGAAATTCCAGTTACATGTTAAGTATTTTTTCACAGTAAAGGTAGTCATATACTAGAACAGGCACCCACAGGGGCTGTGAAATCTCTGTTTTTGGAGATACTGATAACTTGAATAGCCCTGAGCAATCTAATGCAAGTTTGCCCTGCTTTCAGTAGGGTGTTAGACTAGATGACCTTGCAACCTATTTATTCTATATTCTGCCAAAACATACTGTTTTCCAAAGAGTAGAATGAACCCATACCTTTCTTTAATTTCTTTACTTATGGAGAATGGTACTGCAGTGTAGGCAAAGTGCATAAATTTATCTCAAGGAATGAAAGAGCTGGTAATTTCACCATTATAAAATATATTGGGCTGTTGCTAGTGTATAGCTTTTTTGCCTTTTTCACCAGTTTTTCTCCATCTGAGTGGCCATATTAGAAAAAAAATATTGTTTTACTTGTGTACAAAGAGTACTACCCTTAGAAACTTTGCTTAATTCATAAATGTGCATGTCTGATGTTCTTGCTGTGTCTTGAAGCTCATTTTTGAAAGTAACATTTTCTATTTGGATGTAATATATTTCCCATTTTGTAGTCCGCTTACCTGTCGGATAAGTGGTTTGTTTGGTATTTAAATCTCCCCTGAGATTTCACAGATTTATGTTCTTACATGGGAGCAATCAGAGATTCAAGTAGAAGGACATGCAGGCTGTTCTCAGCAACCTGCAGCTAATAATGTGGGTACTGGTATCTTGACCGGACATTATCAAACGAACTATAGAACTGATAAAGCTAAGGCAGTGCTGATGCTCTTTTCCCAAGAGAAACTCAGCCAATGCTCCCTACTGGGAAACAGATGCTCTTTAATGAAACGCCACACTACAATTTGAAGGGCTGAGCTCTGGGTATTTTTACTGTCTTTACAGCACTGATCTTCTATGTCTCCTTATCTTTCTGTTCTGAACAAACATTCCTATCTATACTCTATGTCAAGCTTCCTGCACAGAAATTTCTTGCATATTTGCAGTGCTTTAGATGAACTTACTACTGTCATACAATCTCTGCTAGAAAACACAGATAGTCTGTTATTTTTTTGAGATGTAAAAGTCACAGAGGGGTCAAAAGCCATAAATATTTCCAGTTATGTTATGCAGTAAGTAAACTAAGGTAAGTGGTCTCTAATAATTTTTTTTCTAAGATACATACACCACAGAAGCCCAGTGTTGAAAATACATTGTGATTTCAAAGTCCAACATTCAAAAAAGTTTGCAAAAGACACAATGAAACGTGCCCAAATAGCCTTAATTCAAGGTTTTTGTAGTCACCAAGTCTTTGGTTACCTGATCGTATATTTTATTACTCCTCCTTTCCATAATCCCAAGAGTCCTGGCTAATTAATAAACGTGTAATTATTTACTTGGGCATACATCTTTCTTTTATCCTAATTCTTCAGTATCATACGTTGTATTTATTGCATACAATTCTGTTCAAAAGACAAAATCCTTCTATTCCCCAGACCTTTCTCAGTAACTCATACACTGATGGGAGTGTCTTCAGGGTTGCCTTGAGTAGTGAGGTAGTAGCAATTTTTCCCATTGTAAAGAAGGAACAAAGAGAGATTAAGATAAAGATTGCTAATTTAGAATCTGAGATTTCAGCATACTGTATGCAGTGTTGTGTGTGTTTATAGAGTAATTTTTCAGTAGCTTCATTTGCAGCTGAGTGCAAAGAGTCTCTGGGTTGAGCAACCAGACAGTTAGAAATACAGTGTCAATAGCTGTTTTGAGGAGATGGGTTTAAGCAACTTGGATAGGATCACATGAAAACTTCAGGTAGGTATAGACTGCACTTTTCAGGGCAGGACACTGAGAAACTCTTGTGTGTCTTCCTGCAGTCCCTAACATGATGGCTGTAAGGATCTTGTTGTCCCTTTTATCATAGCAAATACCTGTTGGGGGTGACTACAGAAAATACCTATTGGGGCAGATATGGCAGATCGCAGCTCATGTTCCAGCTCTTCCAGGAAATCTTCTGAAACTTCTCACTGCATTTGTTCACCTAGTTTCCTTCTGCAGCTTTATCACACTCTGGCAGAATTTTTCTGGATAGGATCATCTTTCTCAGACTTTGTCAAGCAACAGATGAGTTCATTTACCTAGGACGTGCAGCTTCTCTCCTCGTCTTGGTTTTGCTTTGTTTTTTTGCCTCAGGGAGCAGTGTCAAGCACAGTTCTTAAACGTAGCAATACTTTTTAAAATTTGAATTAGAGTTTCATGGAAAGTAGCATATTCTGAAGGAGTTTTGGTACCTCTCTGAGGTGTCTACAAAATTCAGCTCTGATTCCTTTTAATGTTGTTTGTCTAATTTATTGACATTGTGTGTTCCAAACAATGACTGGTTTATTTATTAAATAAACAAATCCTGGCTCAGCTAGCAAGGTCTTAGAAGAAGTAGTTGACATAATTTCTGTCCATGAAAGCTGCTGGATGTGACTGCCTTTTTTTTCCAAATTAATACTGACGTTGTCAGGGTCCCACATTGAGAAAACCCAGAACAACCTCAGAATTCCTAAGTACACTTCAGCATGCATTGCGGTATTCAGCCACAAATATTTTGGGCTCAACGGTTTTCACCAATATAAAGAACTTCATTGCATTTTTAATATTTAAAGATAACAGATAAAAGAGCTTTGCTGATTCATATATCCAAAATAGTAATATATTCCTTTCATTGTAAGGAGCTGTAAAATACTTTTATTATCATTGGATCATTTTAGCATGTCACTGCAGAAGTGCACATTACTGAAGTTTAATGTCTCTACATGTTTACATAGAGACCATAAATTTCTTAGGATCATCTACAGATATAATTGACTTGTTTGGTTATATAATTACATATGTTAGAAAATACTTTTAAAAATCCTAAATTTCAGATTGCAATCATTCTATTAACTAGCTATGCAGCATTTGAGCAAGGCGCTCATTTTGATTTTAATAATTAAGGGCGTAAGCCCATGTAACAAATCAAAGGCAAGAGGGGACAGCTTAAATTAACTGGAGGTGTTTTCCGCAGTTCAAAACATGCTGTAAAAATGGTTAAAGCTACCTTGTCAAAGAAGTACAAGGTTTGAAACTGGTAGCCAGTTATGCTGAGTTTGAACAAAATAAGTCGCTGCTCATGTATAGTTATAAGAATATATTATTATCATGGTCCAGAATCAGTACAACCTGCTATATTGTTTGTAACTTGTTGAAAAAGACACATACACAGATGGAGAGGTAATTCCTACTGTCAGTTATTTACATATAGCTCTAGTCATTTTAGCAGAATTTGAATATCTGTGGGGAAAAATGAGTCTAGAATACATTAGATTCCGAGAATCTTATAGTTTCTTGTATGAAATGGTCTCAAAGTCTTACTTTTTCCTGTGTCTTTTTGTCTAAATTATGTGATTATAC